TTGAGAGCTCTCAACGTAGCTTCTCTCACCACTTTGGCCTAATACCCTATTGAAATTAAAAATAGTAATAGCTTATTTGAATGTTCTACAATCCATTTGTATCTGTCACAACCATCATCTGTATGCGTGGGAAATCAAATTATGCTTGTGCCATTTCTATTAAGAATCGGCTGATATGCAGTGATATATCAGGGAGAGAGAGAGAGAGAGAGAGAGAGAGAGAGAGAGAGAGAGAGAGAGCGAGAGAGAGAGAGAGACCAAGCAGCATTTACCAGCCCTCATGAACTAATTTCTCCTTGCTACTGTTCTCTAGTCTCGGCAATCAAGTGCTACCAATGCAGCAGTGACCAAGAGAAGGATAAAGATAAGGACGTATGTGGAGCCTTTAAGGGCTTCAACGCAAGTGCGCATGCGCTTGTCGACTGCCTAGGACCGGAAGCGAAAACCCCGGGCATCTTCTGCGAAAAGGTCGTCTACGAAAGTCCAGGCAGTGAGTGTAGTGCTATTAAATAGACGTGGCATTAATTATTGACATTTTTTTACATTAAAAGTAAGAACTAACGTTACTAAATATATCCTCAAACTCTCACCTGATTAAAATGTTTTTACGTTGGTTAAATTTGCAAAAATCTAGACGATTTGGTAATTTCTGTTGTCTAACACTATTCCCCCAGTATTGTTCAGATACTGGCATCTCTCTATTTTTCACCGGGAAATTAGGGCATATAAAGAAGGTATATAAGCATGAAAAGTAAACAGAAACACTAATTGTATTTTCATACATTTTATTTTGTATAAATAACACACAAATATACTACTTGATGGTGCTAGAAATTCGTGACGTAATCACTTTAAGTGAATATGGGATAAATATGGGATGATAAAAGCAGTGATCTGACGAGGGTACGACGGTGGGTGTAAAGGGGTGTGATGAACAAGAGAGATGAAGGCAGTAGCATTGATTACAAGAGACGAATCAGAAGAACACATTTAAATATGATAATAGATTGATCTTGGGAGGGGGGACATATTTTGGATGTATATCTATATAATTCGGCTGGGAATTTGTGAATGATGTCTATCAAACTCATCAAGTCTTTCTCTTTCTCTGTGCCGCCACCACTGCTGCCGCCAGCCTGGGGAGTGTGGCGCACAGTGCATCGTAGGTGTGCCTCGCGGTCGAACTATGGCGTGAGCTGGGGCTGCTACTGGTGGTACGACACAAATGGAGTCTACACGGAGGTCTGCTATTGCAACGGGGACGGCTGCAACGCGGGAACGCACATCATCGCATCCGTGGTGTTACTCCTGTCACTAGGACTGCTCTCCACTGTTTGGGGGCTGTGGCGCTAGCAGTAAACCGTGCAGAGAGAAAGACGGTGACTGAGTGAGAAAGAGAGAGAGGAGAGAGAGATGGTGATGGGAAATTTACAGTTTAAAAAATGAGGAGACAGTTTTTAATATTTTTTTAATGCGCGAGAATTCGGGATCCGTCCGTCTAACAGCGCTCCTGGTGGCAAACAATGTCTCTAAAGCCCGACGCACACGTGAGTTATTTTACTCAAGTAAAATGACGCATGAGTCAAATTACTCAACGAAAATCCGCCGCACACGTGAGTAAAATGATGCATGCGTCAAATTCTTCAACGAAAATCCGCCGCACACGTGAGTGAAATGACTCATGCCTCATATTATTTGAGTAAAATAACTCACGTGTGCGCCGGGCTTAATCCTACCGAAGGTGAGAAGTGTAATTGTTAATTGTTACAATGGGTTGTTTTCCCATGTTCGTCACTAGGGGCGAAAGTTTCCAACCTCTAGGTAAAACCTTCATTCATTCGTTGATAAATAACGCAATTTATCTCAGTAGTGATGACTTGGCAGGCTAATGTAGAATCTGAGTAACTTTGTAAATACACGCGTGTGATAGACGGTACCAAATCCTTCATCGAACACGGAAAACATTGTAAACTGTGTTAAGAGAGATCAAACGGTGTCCATTCAAACTAGTGTCCATGCAGAGCGGTGTTCGTACAGGTCAGAATATGCAACAATCTTCTCACATCCACAGAATCTCACAGTTATATTGTATATAGCGTTCCTATTTAGCCTTTATATATATATATATATAATGCGTTTTAACTAGAGGAGATCTGTCATAACCACCAATAAGTTTTACATGGTTAGTGTTGTTGAATAGGACGCACAGATGTGTGCCGCCCATGTTTCGTGATACTGTACCGTACACAGTGTTTAGAAATGTATGTGATTATACCTATCACACTAGTTGTGATGGCAATGAGGCAGGCGGCAGCAGAGGCTACGTAACGCGAGGTCGGCCTTCTAGCTGTGAAAGTGTAATACTCTATAATCACTCTGTAAATATTTTTCCCGTTTTGATACGGCAGGGTTTTATAATTCATCTAATTTTTTAGCATAATCTTTTAACGATTATACGCGCGTTGTGGCAATTTACACATGATGTTCGTTACACATGATGACAATGAGCAAGAGCTCGTTGTTGGTATTCGAATGGCAAAATGTTAATAGAAGAAGTTTTGGCAGCAATCGGCGTTAAGAAAACTATAAATATAGGCGGAGTGGGAGAAAGTTATCAGAATCTCATTTTTGCAACACACGGGATTCTTGGACCATGATGGCTGAGATTTATCCTAACGAATTGTGAATGCTTATATCGAAAGAAATATAACGTAAGAATTTTGTTATGAAATTAAAAAAATATCGATGTTCTTCTATTTGTTTCGGCGATCGGTATCAAACACGCTTCATTCCGAGCCGGTGACGTCATTTGCGTTTCATGCCAAGAACACCGATCGGCTCCCGTGTCTGGGTTCGATTTGCCGGTAGATTATCCGTGAGGTAATTCGCAATGAAACCTGTATGTGTACGGTTCACATTCGCCGAGTTTTCTATATTCGTAAAAGTAAGTACAAAACTGCGTGCAAAGAAACTATATTGCGATTGTAAAACTAGTGTTTGTCTGTTTCTTGCAAGGTTGCGAATATTGCTGTCACGATAACGAAAACAAAATGCGCTCGTGAGAGAGAAAGAAGTGCAGAGACAGTGATAGAATGTAAACAAGAGAGATCAAGAATGTAAGAATGTAATAGAATGTAACAAAGAAAGACGGGAAAAAGCAAAATATGCTTTACTATTGTTTCGACTACCATAAGCGGTAAGCATTTCATAATGCATCATAACACTAATAATAATCCATAAACACTAATAGATGTTAAATAAGCTTGAATATATTTCTAATCATATAATAACCGCTAAAATAACGCGCACCGACTATGTGTCTTGGAGTTATCTACGTATGTATGTATATATATATATATACTTAATTATCGGCCATATAAAATATTTGTATTTACATCATAATACAAAACTACGGAAGTAAAACACTACTTCCTAAAGTTTAGAGGATACTTGATGCTCTGCTGATCCTAAAAGCTCTACTATAATATGTATGTTACCTGGCAATAGGTTATCGGATATGTACTACGTGTAGTGAGTGGGACGAGGGAAATAGGGAGACGAAGGTAAAGAGGAATATGAACAGGAACATGTGCTACACACAGTCAGGCAGGTATGAATAGAGCAAACAAGAGAGTGTGGAAACATGCATGCGCGCACGCACACGCGGAGATCGATGCACGTATAGTACGTCCTCGCAAACACCAGCACGCACACATGCACGCGCAACAAAAAGTACGCACGCACGCACGCACACATGCGCGCGCAACAAAATGTACGCACGCTCGCACGCACACATGCACGCGCAACAAAAATGAACGCACGCACGCGCGCGCGCGCGCGCGCTCTTATACAGCTATAGTGCCGTTATCGTGCTGAATTCCTCATTGGCGTGTACTGCGCATGCGCGCCCTGCTTCTTCCTCTGCCGATGTCGTCTGCTTGGCGGCAGCTGCCGTAGCGTCGAGGTAACTCGGCGGAGGCGGGATACGTAACACCACCTGGCTCGTTCTCACCGGGATAGCCGTCTCGTAGCGCCGTGAGTTACGGGCCGCATCGTAGCCTGCCGTGCGAACAGATAGATAGATAGATAATAGGTTTAATGCAAAAATAGTATTTACAACGTTACAATTAAAATAAGTTTTGCAAACATGATATCACCAGGCAGTATAACGCTGAAATTGATGATATATTACATGATATTATGAAAATTATATCACTACAACTAGTCTATAATAATATATGTCCCGTGGTAAGACAGATATCACTTAAAATATTGGTTCATAAAATTATATGACTACAACTATAATAATATATACAATATTTATAATAACAGAGCAACAACATCGTAACAGCCGTGTGTACAGAGCAACAACAACGTAACAGCCATGTGTACAGAGCAACAACATCGTAACAGCCGTGTTTACAGAGCAACAACATCGTAACAGCCGTGTTTTACAGAGCAACAACATCGTAACAGCCGTGTGTACAAAGCAACAACATAGTAACAGCCGTGTGTACAAAGCAACAACATCGTAACAGCCGTGTGTACAGAGCAACAACATCGTAACAGTCGTGTGTACAGAGCAGCAACATCGTAACAGTCGTGTGTACAGAGCAGCAACATCGTAACAGCCGTGTGTACAGAGCAACAACATCGTAACAGCCGTGTGTACAGAGCAACAGTAAAGTAACCCCCTCACATAGTCTGTTCTCACAATTGAATTGTGAAAAATAATTAATTAGCTAGTCAATTTATTAACGACATAATGCCACAGCGACAGTCTTGGGGGATTTCTGCATGTATACGGCAATCTCTTTTGATATTTTTTCCATTTTAACACACTTCACACTCATTCAATACGTATATGCTTCGAACTATCGTTATCTTTTCATCAAAATCGTTTTCTTTTTCTTTGGATAACTACACGATAATTATAACTCATTGATTAATGAACACCCACCGTTCCCAAGTAGATGGTCGCGTATCGTTTGTTCAATGATGTCCTCATCATAGTTGTGGACGTGAATGCAGACTACAATGTCCTGGCACATTGCCTTCCTGACGGCCTGCGTGCGCGCGTGTGAGAGAGAAAGATACTTCAATATTCCGCGTTTACTCGTAAAACTCAAACTCCACGACAAATGGCGCTCTCGCTCTGGCTCATGATATTATGATATATGATATCATGATCATGATAATTTATCATGAGTTGTACGAAGGGGGCGCTGCATGCAGTTTGCGTAGAACTATGACGCGTGACTGTGGGAGAGATTCAGCGTCACGTCCGTCGTAGACCCGTAGTCGTGAGTGCGCATGCGCGGCAAGCTGGGCGAAACATAATAAACTGTAATGAATAAAATAATAATTAAAAATAATAATTGAATAAATTTAATAATGAAATTGATGTGAAGAAGAAACTGGACACTATATGCTTGCGAGAATATACGAGGAACGTGCGCAAGTCTTCATATCAGGCGCGGTTATAGCAGCAGACGAGTTGTCAAAGACGCGCGCTCGCACGCGGAAAGTGCATGCGATAACGCCATGCCATCGCATCCAGACACACAAAGTCGGCAAGAAAAACAGAAATTAGTCTGCTTATATTATACACCCTCGGCGCCACCAGAGGGCAGAATGAAGGATGTCGGCTGTGCGTGGCATACGTAGCAGAGACGGTTAATATTTACCAAGGGTTATTTCATTTTATTCATATATATGTTGTACTTCTATTTAGGTGATAACCTCAGCTCTGGAATCGTAGCAGCGTAGAGTTAGCAAATGGTAGAGATGTTTCGTAGATAGCAAGGTAGAGTAGCAGCGTAGAGTCTCGTCAGATAGAGCCGTAGTCGCCCCGCCCC